GCTCCCGGCTTCGCCGAGGAGAAAGTCCATTCTCCCCCTTTCAACGTTTCCTCAGTTCCGGTCGGGGTCTGCCATCCTCCTTCGTCGCAGTCACCGGGCGGGAAGGTGGCGGAGGGCGGCTCCGGCCGGGAGTCCTGGCCCGGTCCGCTCCCCAGACCTGTTGCCTAACAACACATGCTGCCCTCCCGTCGGTAAAATGAAAACTAGGAGCTCCCCTGGGCGTCATCCTCCACCGCGAGCCTCCTTTTAAAACGATCACCTGAGGGAACTTGGTCATCATGAGTCAGTGACAGGACACCCCGAGGACTTCTGTGGACTACAGTTAAAAAAAAAAAAAATCAGGGAAAAGCCCGAGTGACCCATTCTTCTTTCCCAGTTGGTGTTGAGGTTCTTCGCGGTTTGCTCGCTCCTGGAACATGAGGGTTCGTGTAGTTCCTGCTTCAATGATCTCAGTTAATAAAGCGGAGTTTTGTGTCCCGCCACCGCCGGGTACAATCTGCCCACGGTAGACGTGGTGGACGTGGACCCGTCGCCTTTTCCCGAGCTTCAGGCCGAGGGATGCTTCTGACACCAGGGTATTGCCCGGCTTTGCCCACACTGCCAGAGGCACTCGGGGGACATTGTGCAACGCTAACAGAAACTCCCCCCTTTTAAAGCATCTTCGATGGCCATATCGATCTTACTACAAAAGTGACTTTTGAACCATTCCAGCAAGGCAGGGCTTTCTGAGCACTGCCAGTCACAGTAAGTGACAGGGCTGATTAGACTGTAGGGCTTCTCACTTTCGGTTTACCCACTAGACTTCTGCCCTCCTGCTAGAGAAAGTGTCCTAAGGATGAGAAAACTGTGTAATAGGACATTTTATTTTCATATTTTGTTGCAATGCCAAAACAGGTTATTACAGTGGATGTGTAATGAGCACAGCTATTTTCTGGCTTGCTCTCGTAATTGCAATCAGGAATATTTCTCATAGTTATCCATTTAATTAAGTAGAAGCTGATAGCATTTAATGGTACCAAGCAATGTTTGGTAAGATTAACTATATTTACAAACTAGAGGCCTGCAGTGGGGGTCCTCAGCCTGGCCTGTGGCCTCTCACAATCTGGGACCCCACCCGGCAGGGGAAGGACCACGGGAGGGTTCCAGGGCGTGTCCTGTCTTGCTCAGACCCCAGCAGCAAGCTAACCTACCGGTGGAGCGTCTGCCCCCTGTTGGTCAGTGCACATCATAGCAACTGGTCAAATGGTCGGACACTTAACATATTAGGCTTTTATATATATACTAGGGGCCCAGTGCACGAATTCGTGCACCTTGAAAGGAACTGTGGGCCATGAGGCTGCTGTGGGCACAGGGGCGGGTCTTGGCCCATCCTCCACGCCCCCGCTCAGCCCCTCCCACTGTGGCCCCCAGTTCCCTGTCTACCAGCAGCCCCACTCCCATGCGCTGACGGTACTGGCCCCGCTCGCACCCGCTGATTGAGTGGAGTGATTGGGGCCGGTGCCAACAGCAGGTGCGATCGGGGCCGGGGCCGTCAATGGGTGTGAGCAGCAGCTGATGCCCCGATTGCTCCTCATGAGCAGAGGGAGGTAGAGAAGCCCTCAGGGGTGATCGGGACCGGTATCAGGCGCCAGCAGTGGGTATGAGAGGCAG